TGTGCGTGTTTGGTGTGGGGTGTGTGTGTTTGGTATGGGGTGTGCGTGTTTGGTATGGGGTGTGTGTGTGTGTGGTGTGGGGTGTGTGTGTTTGGTTTGGGGTGTGCGTGTTTGGTATGGGGTGTGCGTGTTTGGTATGGGGTGTGCGTGTTTGGTATGGGGTGTGCGTGTTTGGTATGGTGTGTGCATGTGTTTGGTATGGGATGTGCGTGTTTGGTATGGTGTGTGCATGTTTGGCATGGGGTGTGCGTGTTTGGTATGGTGTGTGCGAGTGCTTTTATGGTGTGTGCAAGTGATTGGTTATTCAAGGTACCGGCAACACTTTAGTTACATTGTACCAAAGTATTATTTCTGTTACAAACAGCGTGACAACCTTTAAGTATTTATTGAGAGAAGAACATTTTAAAGAGATTTAATATATTTTAAACCTTTTCTTCAACGCGTGTCATTGATATTTATCCATTCGTGCCATGTCTGGCACGCGTGCCGTGCCACGCCAATCTGTGTAATAAAAATAAACTATAGTCCAATAACTTAGTTTTCTTTACGCAGCAATAAACACAAAGTGGATCAAAGTTGTGCCAATATTTGAAATGTCAGTTCATGTTCGATATTCTGGTGTCAATATCTGTAACAATATTTGGACTTGAACGGTGTGGGTTTTTTTATAAGGAGAGTCCAAACTTATTGGATGCGACATGAGAGCAACATGAATTGTTGAGAATTCTAGCTCATTAAGGTCAGTTTATTGCCAATATGAAAGTGTCAAACATGACTGGTACAATGAGTAAATGTTTAAGTAGGTGAATCAATGTTGTACCATATGTGTAAGATAGTTGATCACGTTGAGACATTCACTGCATGCCTTAATAGGACAGCTGGAAAACCTTGTGGGCAATCTATACGTAGTGTGCAGTTAAAGATGTAATTGGTAGGTATTGAATTTCCGATTATCGGTCTCAGTGATAAAACCAGAGATATCACCGCTTCAAAGATACAAGTAGAGAAATCACCGCCTCAAAGATACAAGCAGAGAAATCACCGCCTCAAAGATACAAGTAGAGAAATCACCGCCTCAAAGATACATGTAGAGAAATCACCGCCTCAAAGATACAAGTAGAGAAATCACCGCCTCAAAGATACAAGTAGAGAAATCACCGCCTCAAAGATACAAGTCGAGAAACACAAGTCTCTGCTACGCACTGCCTTCTATAGTGAGAACTTAATCTCTTAGCTTAAGTTATTGGCTCGTTCTTATTAGTCCCTACCAGAGGACGATACCATAAAGAATTACAATATCAAACATACGACACTCAAAACAGTACCAATTACAACTAATAAGAATTATTTAAGAATTACTATAATTACAAAATAAAAGAAATGTAATTACAATCATCAACTTACAGAGTACGGGAAGTATTGTACCTGTACACAGTTAGTACAATGTGCCATAAAAATAAGATACAATGACGAATGCTAATAAACACATATGCGTACACAAAGAATAATACACTTGTCTCATGAAGTGAAAAAAAATATCTATCGATCCATACCCCACAATCTCTAAATCCCATTATTTATATAGTGGGTCTATCGAAGCATCCAGAAAAGCCTTACACATTGTTTACTTTTTTAGTCCAATCGCGAAAATTCTACAAGATACTATGAGAACAATGTTCAGTTGGCAGCGGCAGTAAACACGCAAGATGAAAGGGAAATAGGCCACGCACAACTCGAACGCGTCTGCTAGATTGGGCTATACAGAGTGGAAATGTGACGCAAACACGTCCTACATAACAGTCTCAAAGATAGAGTCAGAAAACGCAATGATAAAAATAAAAGCAGAGAACTCATTGCCTCAAAGGTACAATCGGAAAAAACGCAACGCATCAAAGATACAAGCTGAGAACTCAACGCATCAAAGATACAAGCTGAGAACTCAACGCATCAAAGATACAAGCTGAGAACTCAACGCATCAAAGATACAAGCTGAGAACTCAACGCATCAAATATACAAGCTGAGAACTCAACGCATCAAAGATACAAGCTGAGAACTCAACGCATCAAAGATACAAGCTGAGAACTCAACGCATCAAAGATACAAGCTGAGAACTCAACGCATCAAAGATACAAGCTGAGAACTCAACGCATCAAAGATACAAGCTGAGAACTCAACGCATCAAAGATACAAGCTGAGAACTCAACGCATCAAAGATACAAGCTGAGAACTCAACGCATCAAAGATACAAGCTGAGAACTCAACACATCAAAGATACAAGCTGAGAACTCAACGCATCAAAGATACAAGCTGAGAACTCAACATCTCAAAGATACAAGCTGAGAACTCAACGTCTCAAAGATACAAGCTGAGAACTCAACGTCTCAAAGATACAAGCTGAGAACTCAACGTCTCAAAGATACAAGCAAACTACTTTCTTTCTTTCATACACGACAATTATCAGAAGTTAAAAATGGAAAATAGTTTGATTGTTATCCTAAGTCTTAAGTCAGTACTGACAAATACTCCGTTTTTTTCTCACTTGTCCCTGTTTTTGCCTGCACAGATAATCAAGTGAAATAAATGTAAACCATTTCTTACTTTAAAATCAATAAGAATATACAGTTTAAAAAGTTCCAATGTACAATTTATATTGGAATATTTATTTATGGAAGCAGCGAAAGTTAAAGTAGCAGAAAGGTATAGAAACACATTGTTGTCAGTGGCGTATCTTGACTAAATGCCAACCTACTTTTGTGACACTATTCTCATGTATCAACATGTTCGTATGGCACCCTTCTCTGGTATCAACATGTTCATAAGGCATCCTTCTCTGGTATCAATGTAAATTAAAGGACTGCATTCAAGCCCAGTAAATGAATGAAATAGCAAAACGAGGTATGTGGAAGCTTGAATTAGAGAACAGGACAAAAAGATAAGGACGTTTCGGCATAAAGCCTTCTTCATCTAACAGTAGAAATGAA